TGTCGTTGGCTTCCTTGGGGCCCTCGCGGCCTCCTGGGGCGCTTTTTGGGGGCCCACCATGGGGCCGTCCGTGCCCCTCGCGGGCCCGTTGTCTGGGGCTTCTCCACGCTGAGGCGCTCGTGACTGACCGAGGGCCGGACAGCGATAAGGCCAACAGCACTCAGACGCAGCAAGGGCAGTGCAGCCCTCTCGTGTTGGGTGCTCGTTTCGGACAGGAGTGCTGCTGCCTTTCCTCCCTCCCTTCTCACGTCTCCTCCTTCCAGCCTGGCTTGTACCCCGCCTCTTCTTGCGTGGGCACCTGGGAGGTCCAGCGGAGTGAGGGCTCAAAAGGGATCCAAACCATTCCTCGCCCACCAGGGGGGCTGCAACTGTGCAACCGTCGCAACTTCCGTGAGCTCCTGTGACGTCCAGCGGCGTGCTGGCTTAATAGATCTCGCACCTTTGGGGAGGCCAACTTCGCAAATGTTGCCATGTTCAGAAGAGCTCCCGGGATGTCCACCGGAGTGCGGGCCTTCAGCGGCCACAAATGAGACCTCGCCTTCTCTAGGGCCTGCTAAATGCACAAGTGTCGCCACTTTCGTAAGCTCCTGGGAGGTCCAACGGAGTGTGGGCCTAAAGACTTTCGTAAGCTCTTGGGAGGTCTAGCGGAGAACGGATCTAGAAGGACCAAGTCTAGACCCCGCCCCTCTTGGGCCTGCCAACCAGCAATGTCGCCACTTTCGTGAGCTCCTGGGAGGTCCAGAGACGTGCGGGCCTAAGAACTTTTGTGAGCTCTTGGAAGATGTAGCGGAGTGCGGACCTAGAAGGACCCAGTCTAGACCCCGCCTCCCTGGGGGCTGCCGACCAGCATGTGTCGCCACTTGCGTGAGCTCCTGGGAGGTCCAGAGACGTGCGGGTTTAGAAACATCCAAACCAAACCTCGCCTTCCTGGGGGGGCTGCCAACTGCCAAACCGTCGCCACATCCATGAGCTCCTGGGAGGTCCAGCAGAGCGCGGACCCAGAAGGGTTCCAAACTAGACCCCGCCTCCCTCGGGGCTGCCAGCCAGCAAGCACCGCCAGTCTTGTGAGCTCCTGGGATGTCCAGCGGAGTGCAGGCTCAAAGGGATCCAAAGTAAGCCTCGCCCTCCATGGAGGGCTGCCAACTGCGCGACCGTCGCCTCTTTCGCGAGCTCCTGGGAGGTCCAGCGGAGTGCGGGCCTACGCGGACCAAAACAAGTCCTTGCCCCCCGTTGGGAATGCCAACTGCGCAAATGTCGCCGCATTCGTGGGCCCCGAGGAAGCCCAACATAATGGTGCCCTACGCGGGCTCAAACGAGACCTCAAGCTGCCAACTGTGCAACCGCCGCAACTTTCATGAACTCCTCGGTCCTCGGAGATCCTGCGTTCCGCCATCTTTCGGTCATTTCGTCTTCGCCGTTGTCGTGATCATAGTTATCACGACGACGATGACGACGAAATCGTGAACTCGTGATCCTCGCCGTTCTTTCCTCCACGTCCTACCCGTCGGTACTGTCATTCGCAAGTCCCGCTGGGCGTGCAAGGAACAGGCCTCCTGTGTAGTCATATCATCCTCCGTTTGAGAAGGGCCTGTTGGTGCTGCCAATTGTTTCGGGCCAGCCTGGGCACGACCCTGGATCTTAGCCGCCCCGATGCGCAGCACGCAACCCGTAGTGTGCTGACACGGAGCTCAACACGTCTAACCATGAACCCACGAGAATAACCCCCCAGAGATAATAAAGTTCGGGGTTTTCGGGGAGATATAATAAAAATTGCCCGCCAGAGCCAGCATAAAGAGATATCAAGAGGAAAAAGCCAAAGATATCTTGAGGATCCTTGGTCTTTGGCCCTGTATGAGACGTCCTCAACAATGATTTGTCTCGGTTGAGACATCCTCAACAATGGTTTGTCTCAGTTCAGGGCGCCAGGGGGCGAGAAGAAGGAGACAAAAAAAGAGATATAGAGAGAAAGAAAAGAAGAGCAGGAGGAGGAGGCGGAGGAGAGAGGAGAGGAAAAGGAGGAGGCGAAAATCCAAAGTTCAAAACTTATTAGATTTAATTTGTAAACGCTTGATGAAAATTAAAGTTTTCATCTGCTCGTGTAGGGGAGCTCATGTGCTTAGTTTTCCCGGGGTAATCAAACCCAGCGATAAACAAGTTCAGGGCGCCAGGGGGAGGAGGAGAAGAGAGAGAGAGAGAAAGAGAGATAGAGAGAGACAGAGAGAGAGAGAGAGATAAAAGAGAGAGAGAGAGAGAGAGAGAAAGAGAGAGAGAGAGAGAGAACAGAAACATAAACTAAGAGAGAGAGAGAGAGCGAGAGAGTTCAAAACTTCCTTCTTATGTTGTTATCTCAACATAAGAAGGAAGTAACCTCGATGACGAACTTTCCCCGTGATAATGAAGTTCGGCCTCCGCGCTCTCCGCCTCTATTTGAAAACCGTCGAGGCCGAGGATAAAAAACTCAAACGACTTAAGGGGGGGTACTTTATTATCGTTGGTTCGGGGTTATTGAAAACGGAGGTCGGGCGCGAGATGTTCGCCAACACGAGGGCCAACGCGGGCCAAACAAACACGCAACATGTTCACACACACATGTTTGGAACACGGTAGGTGCTGCGCTTCCAAACGAGGGTATCAAGGCAACTAAGCCCTGGGTCATTCATGGGGGGCTGCATTGTGTGAAACTGCCGCCACTTTCGAGGTCTGCTGGGCGGGGCAGCACCGTGGGGCCCCACGCGGATCCAAACTGGGCATCGCCATCCCTGGGCAAGCTGCGAAGCATGAAAGTGTCGCCAATCTCGAGGGCTCCTGGGGGGGGGGCAACACAATGAAGTCCCGCGCAGATGTCGCGGATCTCGCCATCCGTGGGGTGGGTGAGGGCTGGCCTCGCAGGTGTTGAGCATTCCAGCATGGAAAACGCGACTCTTCATTGTCTGGTTGCGCCTCCGTATCTGTAATCTTATCTTGCCCATGCTCCATCATCTCGCTGCTTCTGTCGAACAGGTGGTTCTTTCACCCCGATGTATTCATTGTGTTTTCCCGTCCCAATATGCGGTCTCCTACTTTTGTACCTCTGTTCTGCGAGTCGGCCACGCGCACTTCGCACGATATAGATATCCAACGTGCGCGTCTCTTGCAGTGTTGCTGTCACGCAATGGTCGGCACACCTGATATCATCCCTTGGTGCCGATGGGTAGGATACGTCGCAGGGCCTGCGTTCCCCAGCATTACCTTGGTTGGGTTCTCGTTTGGAATAAAGCAGTGGGGCATCCACAGTATCCTGCTCCTCCTCCTCGCCCACTCCCCCTGCTCTCCTCTCGGCTCTCTGTTCTCGCGCCACTCCTGGGGGCTGCGAAGGGCGACGCCGTCGCCACTTTCGATGGCTGCTGGGGAAACCCGCACATTGGTGACCCACGCGGGTCCAAACGGGACCTCGCCATCCATGGGGGGCTGCGAAATTTGAAACAGTCGCCACGTTGGAGGGCTGCTGGGGAGGCAACGCAGCGGGGCCCCACGCAGGTCCAATCGGGACCTCGCCATCCATGGGGGGGGCTGCGCAATGTGAAACTGTCGCCATTTTCGAGGGCTGCTGGGGGAGCCAGATCCGAACGGTTCCTCGCCATCCCTGGGGGGTTGTGGCATGCGAAGCCGTCGCCACTTTCGAGGGTTGTTGGGGGGGCAACACAATAAGGCCCCACGCAAATCCAAACAGTACCTCGCCATCCCGGGCTGCGAAGCGTGAAACTGTCGTCCCTTTCGATGGCTGCTGGGGGGACCAACTCAGAGGGGTGCCATGCAGATCCGAACTGTACCTCGCCATCCCTGGGGGGCTGCACAATGTGAAACCATCGCCACTTTCGAGGGCTGCTAGGCGGGGCAACGCACAAGGCCCCGCGCAGATCCAAACGGGACCTCGCCATCCATGGGGGGGGGACTGCGAAGTGTGAAACTGCCGCCTCGTTCGAGGGCTGCCAGGGGAGCCAATACAGTGGGGCCGCACGCAGAACCCCACGGGACCTCGTCATCAATGGGGGGCTGCAGCGTGTGAAACTGCCGCCTCTTGCGAGCGCTGCTGGGCGGGGCAGCACCGTGGGGCCCCACGCAGGTCCAAACGGGACCTCGCAATCCCTGGGGGGCTGCGATATGTTCAACGATCGCCACTTTCGAGGGCTGCCGCGGGGCCACGGGACCTCGCCATGCCTTGGGGGGGACTGCTAAGTGTGAAACTTTAACCAGTTGTGAATGCTGCTGAGGGGGGCGGCACAGCAGGGTCCCAAGCAGACCTCGAGGACCTTGCCATCCCCAAGGGGTGGCTGGCCTCCCAGGTGTTGAGCATTCCGGTGTGGAAAACTCGGCACTGCATTGTCTGGTTGCGTATCCGCCTATGCAACCATATCTTGCCCATGCTCCATCATCTCGCTGCTTCTGCCGAGGTGATTGTTCTTCCACCCCGATGTCTTCCTTGTGCTTCTCATTCCCAGTACAATGCCTCCTGGCCTTCTGTACCTCTGTTCTGCGAGTCGGCCACGCGCACTTCGCACGATATGAATATCCGTCGTGCGCCGTCTCTTGCAGTGTTGCTGTCGCACGATTGTCGGCACACCTGATATCATCCCTTGGTGCCGCTGGAATGTGTACTTACGTCACAGGGTAATTTTATAGGTTTTGGCCAGGACAGGCAATGCGCCAAGGATTTCTGGTTCAGTGCGGTTCGACGGTGTACGACGAGGCGTGCAAGGAGGCGCGATCCCGAAACAACGCTGTATCATCATCGCAGCGTGCCCACCGCAAAAATCATCTTCAAATATCAATGACATTGTAAGCAGCAGGACGAACCGCAGAACAATCTCTGGAGCCCGATCTGTCTAAGGATGATTCGCGCTGGAGCTTGCTCCACCCCGTTCTCACCCCATCCACGTAGTTCCGAACGAATGCAGACTCACTGCTGACTGCGAGTGGTCACTCTGGGCGATAGTAGCAAGCAGTGAAGGAAGCATGCTCGCGTGGCCGCTCCTCTGAGATTGGATCCACACCAACACGATGAGGCACACCACCTCCAAGGGAATGGTCTACCGCTGACTGCTGCATCTGCCGCTGCTGCCAGCCCGACCCCTGTGCACACAACCTGCAATACGCTTAACGACTGTGCCCACGGGTTCCACAGAACCCGGTTCCCCTGTATGTGGGGGGAGCAGCTGCGGCGCTGTCGAATGCCATATGCTGCCTGGTAGGGGTTCTGTAATCTCCTAGAAAGGTCACCCCCCACTACTGGCAGACGGGCGCGTGCATCGCCCCCCTCCCCAGGGCCACGATCCTTCTCATACGGCGATGATGGAGCAGCGCCCCCGAAGCCACAATCCCTTGTTAACAAAAGCGATGGATCCGCGCTCTGGGAATTACAAGACGGCCCAGGCAGGCAACCAAGGACGCCAACAAGGCCCACGATGCATCCAGGACGGCCCAAGATGGCCCCAGGGCGGCCCATGATGGCCTCAATACGGCTCAAGATACCTCCAGGAGGGGAGGGCCAGAAGAGGACCCCCAACAACGTCCGAAGAAACCACAACCGTTGATTGTACTTCAGGCTTCCGTCAACTCAAGACTGCCCAGGACGCCACCACTAGTGCGCCCAGACGACTCGAGACGGCCCACAAGGGCCTCCAGAGAGACCCACCTCTACCTTAGAAAGCTCGTAGAGGGCACAAGGCGTCGCCAAGACTGTCCGACAAGCCCTAAGACACCCGCCATACTGCCAAGAAGGCCCCGATACGGCCAACGGGAGCTCCAAAACGGCTCCAATACCGTCCAATGTGGCCCAACCGCGGCCCCTAAAGACCCAGACGACTGCCCCATAAAAGCCCCAGAACCCCAAGGCGGCCTGAATGAATTCCGCGAGTGCCCCTCAAGAAGTTTCACAAAACGGCCCTCCTATTCCTCCTCCTCCTCCTCCTCCTCCTCCTCATCATCATCATCATCATCAGCACGGCTCTCCCAACCTTTGGGGCGCCACATGTCACACGTGACGGCCTCCAGTGCTCCCTCGAACTCTCACCACCCAGACTGCTGGGCTGCCACGGTGGTGGGAATTGCCGCAGGTAGCCCGATACACATGCACATCATTTGTATCACTGGTCTGCTCGACCTGGCTTGGATAAAAACTGTGCTACTCCAATTCCAGAAGCGCCGAACATGTGCCCAACACCCTCCAAACGTTCAGCTTCACCCGCTTCCCCTTGTGCGTGTCAGCAAACTGCACGGGATAGGCTTCAGCAAGAGAACATCACTGCACTTTAGCAACATAAGTTTGACAAATTCAGTATACCAGCAACATATCACTGGTTGGCTTTCATGAACTCTGTCTGCGGAGTTCACCCACGCATGCAAAATAACGCTTGCTTCGACCGCCAAGTCCGTAATTGTTTTTGACGGCATGAACATCTGCCAGTCATGGACAGTCACAGGTCTTCCTACATCGTGCCTATTGTTCCATATCAGAACACATGTTTTTAATGCGTTTCCTGTTTTCTCTGCGTGCTTCCCTCTCTACTTGCCCTGGGCTCAAGGTGCCGCCACTGCAGATCCCCCGACAATGAAAAATTGCTTGCAAGGCCGGAACAGGAGGAATATCTGTCGTACAGTCTGCTATGGAGAATCTAGATGTGGAGGCCACTGCATATCCCCCACACTTAAAATCCTTGTGCAAGGTCGCCACACAAGGAATTAGTCTGTAAAGGCTGCTGCAAAATGATTTTGAGTGTAGAGCGTCTGCACCACTAAAACACTGACAGTCACAGGTCCTCCTAGCTTTTTTATGAGAGCACACGTTGTTTAAAATGTTTATCCTATTTTTACTGTTGTCCTCTCTAGCTTTCCTGGGCTCAAGGTTCCACCACTGCAGATCCCCCCCACATTTTTGTTTTTTGCAAGGCCGCCACAAACAGGAATGTCTGTTGTACAGGCTGCTATGAGAGGATTCTAGATATGGAGGCCACTGCAGATCCCCCACACTTAAAATCCTTGTGCAAGGTCGCCACACAAGAAATCCTGATGGAAAGGCTGCTGCAGAAGGATTTCAAGTCTGGAGCGTCTGCACCATAAAAACACCGACAACCACACATCGTCCTAGTCGTTCCTGTTTCCCAATGTGCGAACACATGCTGTTTCATGCTTTTCCGGCTGTCCTATCTAGCTTTCCTGGGCTCAAGATGCCGCTACTGCAAATCCCCCCACAATTAAGATCCGTTTGCGATGCCGCCTCAACACATTTCTTTTTGTACAGGCTGATAGCGAGAGGATTCCAAGTATGGAGGCCACTGCATATGCCCCACACTCAGAATCCTTTGATAGGGTCGCCACAACAAAAGTCCGTTTGCAAAGGATGCTACGGCAATGCCTTAATGGCGGAGCGTCTGCACCAGAAAGACACCAACAATCACACGTATTCCTAGCTTCTTCCAATCTCCTTGTGGAAACACCTGACTTTTCATTCGGTTCCTGATCTTCCTGCCTTCCGCTCTAGTTGTCCTGGGCTCACGGTGCCACCACTGCAGATCTCCCCGCACTTAATATTATGATGTAAGGCCGCCACAAAATGAAGATCTTGTGTACAGGCTGTTATGAGGAGGATTCTATGTATGGAGGCCACTGCAGATCCCCCACACTTAGAATCCATGTTCAAGGTCGCCACAAAAAGGACTCCTTGTGTAAAGGCTGCTACACGATGATGTTTACGTGTGGAGCGTCTGCACCACAAAGATCCAGACAGGCCCAGGTCTTCCTTGCTGTTCCGTATTATTCCATATGAAAACACATGTGTTGCCATGTGTTTCTCGATTTCCTCTCTGGATTTCCTGGGCCCAGGGTATCGCCACTGCAGACCCCTCCCTATTTAAAATCCTTGTGTAAGGCCGTCACAAAAGGAATCCCTTTGGACAGGCTGCTATGCGAGGACTCTGACTGTGGAGTCCAGTGGAGGCCACTGCAGGTCGCCACAACAGGAATCATGTTGTCAAAGCTGCTGCAAAAGGATTGCAACTGTGGGGCGTTTCCATGGGAGGAATGCAAAAAGAGCTGCGGAAACGATGAGCAAGGAACCGCAGGAGGAGGAGGAGGGGAGGAGTGTGGAGAGAGAGAGAGAGATAAGATGAGAGACCACAAAGGGAACAACCACACTTAATACGATGAACATGCATGATGGGTAAACGGACGAGCACTCGCGTTCCAATCGCTAGGAAATCCGGCAGCAAAAATACCTCGCTGCAGCCATACATACAGAGGGTCCGACGGGGCGGGGGCCCAGGACCCCCACCCCGCCCAGCACAGCCCACAGCGTTCAACGGTATGCGGACTCATTTTCGATATATTCGGCCCCTCCTCAGTCGGAGGCGGCGCCTCCCCAGGTGGTGACGCCCCCTCCCCTGCTACTTTTAGGTCGGGCATGTCCCCCTACAGGGGGACTTTGGACGACAAAAAACAAACAGTCAAGCAATACCCCCAAATGGTCAAACAATACGCAAGCAATCGTCCCGAGACTATTGTTTGCCTACTTCTGAGCATTCCCCCTGTAGAGGGACAGGCCCGACTTCATGCTACCTCCTGATCGAAGCCGCCTGCCGCGAGTCTCCGCCGCCTCCCGCCTTCTGAAAAAAACGCCCATGCCGCGACGCGAGCGAGCGAGCGTGCGGCTCCGGTGAGTGGACGGCGTGTTCCCCCAGCCCGTGGAAAAACCACCGGTGAACGGGGGCGGGAGGAAACAACTCTTGGACGCCGTGGTCGTGTTACCTCAGCTTCTCTGGGGTGATCCTCGAGCCAACCTTGGCCCTCTGGGGGGGGGGCCTCCTCCTCCTCCTCCTCCTCCTCCTCCTCCTCCTCCTCCTCCTGTCTGGCAGGCGCCATGGGGCCAAGCAGGCACCAACTGGGCCCTGCCTGGGCTCTCGGGGCTGGTCAAAAAAGGGCCCGCGGACGGGCCGCAGGCCCCGAAGAGCACCCCCACTGGGAGCCCCAAGAGGCCCGCAGCCCGGTGGGGGCCTTGGACAAGGAACCATTAGATTAGGAGGCAACTACTGGGAAACTTTCGTCGGAAAGATTACTGAGAATTGAACCCCATTTGGGAGCTGGTATGCCGGAAAAGCCTTCGGATTAAGCGGGGTTAAGCGGGATTAAGCGGGAATAGGCCGGACTTCGGACCAGGGCAACATCAGAATTTGACCTCCCAGGAGTTGCATCCGAAAGTAGAGAAGGAACCCAGGGTCTGGAAACCAGTGGAACTCCAATCGTGGATCGGCCACGCATGTCACCGCCGCCATCATCAGATAAGGGACTCCCCCAGGATCTGGCGCCTCCTGAGCGTATTCTCCCCAACCAGCGCCCTCACCGTATGAGTTTCGTCGGGGCCAGAGCCTCTTCTCTTTGTCGCTGGCCTGCAGGATGATACACACTACGGTGGAGGTTTTAGATAAGGATGTCTTCGATAAGGAACCCAGGGTCTCGCGACCGATGCGCGGCCCAACGTGGACCGCCCACCTCGCCGTGAAACAAGAAGGAATGCGCCAGGGTCTGGGCCCCAGGAAGACGTTCCTCATCCAATGCCGCCGCCGTATGAGGTTTGTCGGGACCAGAGCCTCTTCTTTTTGTCGTGGTCTGCAAGGTGGCACACACGATTGCTCCTTTAGAGCTTCAAAGAGCTACAAAAAGGCTCCCAGCAGAACCCCAAGAAAGCCCCCCAATAAGGCCCAATAGACATTACATAAGCCCGCTGACTCCTCAGGCTGACTCCGACTTCCGTTTCACTCGTGCCCCACTCATTGACTCACGAATGGTGCTTCACTACCCTTCTCACGACAACTCGCCTAGAATTTGCTTCTGGATGGGCTGTTCGTGATATGCGTGCGATGCGTCCCAAATTCGTCAGGGAACCGTGCAATTCTGCAACGCTCTGCGACTTGCTTCCCCTGCCTGCTCTGACCTGAACTGCTGCGGGTCGAGATTGGCGGGTTTCTTCCTTAGTCCAGCCCTACGCCTTGCGAGCGAGACGCGACAGGCGTGGAGAGGGTGGAATGGGGAGGGCATGGGGGGAGGGATGAGAGGGAGGGGAGTGAAGGGGAGGTGAGGAGGGGAGGGGGACAAGCTAGGAGGGGGGATGAGATGGGAAAGGAAAAGCGGGGGGATAATACATGACCGGAGACGCGGTCCTTCACACCTATCCTCGGTACGTAAACGCTCATGCACGAACACACGCCGGGCTGCACCGCTCGGCTTACCATTCTCGCAACCCTGCGGCCCAAGGGTGGGGAAGACCCCTCAACAAAAAAACCTTACGGAGGACAAACAAGACATGTATCCAGCGGAACCTGAAGCCCTTCTTGCGCCAGGGCACGTTCAATTGTCAGATGCACTATCTCGACGCATCGTGCTTCTTGTCTACTGCGCAGGCCCTGCTGGGTTTGCAGCTGTAAAGGCGGCAACGGTTGACAATTGAGATGAGCGAGCAAATCCACCGCAAGTCGAGCGACATCCCTGAGCAGCGCCAGGAAGAACGACGCCAACAACAAGGTGACATAGTTCGACTCCGCACGGGAACATCCAGAAGGGCAAGCGTAATCGATGATGGTGCGTCATGTCTCCCGCGCAAACTTAGACGTGGCGATGGCATCAACAATCGTTGACTGCATGTCCTATCTAAGCGCACTTGCGCGTCGGATTACGGCCATGACCAGATTATTCCTGTCAGTGGCGCTCAAACAAATACACATGTTACTTTTTAGCTACATCATGCAAGCCATATGCTCGACAGTGGCGATATGATGTGGCAGCGCGCCGAAGCCTGACTAAGGCAACGAGGGATGGCGTGGACAGAAGCAAGAGCCCGAACTACAGTCGGCCCGTACGATAAGGATGCGCGATAAGGATGCAGGGGCCTTGGACACCCATCTCGAAGCTTCTCGGGCGGGGCGCGGCCAACGAAAGTGGTCAAAGAGGGATCGGGGAGGCAAGGATGTCAGAGTACCCTTGGAAAAATGCACATCCTTACTGTGCGGGTTGACTGTAGACGCCTTCAGCATCCATCCGCTGCTTTAGCCCCAGGCGGCCCAATCCCGTGGTGGGTCACCCGTCCCCGTCGACGTCACAAAGGTGTCACCGACTCGAGTGCACACGCACACACAATTTGTTTGCTCCAACGGCGAGGTGGTGGCACTGGCGCCAATGCTAAGACGGAACACGTTTCAGTTCAATTCCCGCTGGCGTTGCAGGTGGGTGGGCTGCACAGTGAAAATCGACGTGCAGAAGCAAGACACTACACTGGGCCAGCGTGAGTGCAAGAGATAGCTCCACAGCGCATGAGCGCATGCAGGTCGTGCACGCGCAATCAGATTGTGTTCCCCCCGACGCGGCGATGCTAACGTTCACCCAGTGCATTGCTACGGGCCGCCTCGGCAATAAATTGACCACCTGGTGTGGCAACGCATGCAGAGCTGAAAACCCCAGGGCTTTTCAGCAGCAACCGAACCTCGGAACGACAAAGACAATCGCGTGCAACAGCAAGGAAGGCGCAGGACAGCCAAGGAGGACAAGGCCAGGGCAAGCAAGCCGGGGTGGGTGAGCGGTGGAGGACAAGGGTGGAACGCTGGATGATAAGCCGAAAAAAAAAACGCCGACGCCAGCAGAGGGCCCGGCAGGACAGCGGCGTGAGAGCGAGTAAAGGGGCGGCCCAGGAGACAGACCTCGGCGCGCAGCAACGATAGCGGCCGCAACCAGCAAAACGGCTGGCGGGAAGCAGGACGACCAACACTTGACGCACCAGGCGAGCGACGGAAGAGGAATGGGCAACGCGGCGGAAGGGACAGGTGGCTGGTACAGCTGACGACACCCGAGCCAGATGTAAGAAGTGCAGCAATTGAGGGTCGAGTCGCCGCAACGCAGACCAACGGGGCACCGAAGGCACGCCGCCAACACTGTGCGGCTCGACGGCCCGCATACCGAAGGGAAGCGGAAGCCGAACCCGAGCGGCGAGACCGAGTACAGCGGCGCCAATTTGAGGACATGCGGGGAGATGACGCGGTGGCCGGGTCGAGGGCCACCGCGGGACCCAACAACACAGTATGCACACACGCACACGCGCACTCAAACATATGCACACAAACATACGCAGACTCAAACACAAACAAACACACATACGCAGACTCAAACACAAACAAACACACACAACAGCGTGGGCTGTCGCTTTTCGTCCAAGTAGCCCGCGCGTTCGAGATGGCGGTCAAGACTCCGACGATCCGTATGCTCAGATTTTCATCCGGGTTCGACGCTGGCTTGGGGGAGGACGCCGAGTCGCGACAACGACGGGACGGGGCAACAATCGCAGAAGCAACGAGCGAGGGAGACGCGGTAGAAACCGACAAAAGGCCCAAACCAGCATCTTCGATTACACGATTTGTTCCCTACCTAGGCTCTGCCTAGAAGGGTTCTTACTCTCTTAGCTTAAAGGGGCCGGGTAGTGGAACACGCCCCGGGCGGTTCCCCCAGTCCCCTGGGAGCGGTTACCCCCAGTCCCCTGGGAGCTTTAGCTTTAGCTTTAGCTTAGCTTTAGCTTAGCTGTAGCTTAGCTTTAGCTTAGCGTTTCGCTTAGCGTTTCGCTTAGCTTTTCGCTTAGCTTCAGCTTAGCTTTAGCTTAGCTTAGCTTAGCTGTAGCTTAGCTGTAGCTTAGATTTAGCTTAGCTTTAACTTAGTTTTAGCTTAGCTGTAGCTTAGCTTTAGCTTAGCGTTAGCTCAGCTTCAGCTCAGCTTTAGCTCAGCTTTAGCTTAGCTTTAGCTTGGCTTTAGCTTAGCTTTAGCTTAGCGTTAGCTTAGCTGTGGCGTAGCTTTAGCTTAGCTTTAGCTTAGCTTTAGCTTAGCGTTACTGTTACTACTAATGCTACTTTCCTAGGGGGTCCAACTCCTAGGTAGGGTCGCACTGGGATAATTTAAATCAGTTTCTATGCCTTTTTAGTGAAAACCGCCCTTTAGTGAAAACGGCCTTTAGTGAAAACGGCCTAGGACCGAAACCGACGGACCTGGACCAGCAAATGTAACAGCCGCGACGCCCTCTCGCGAACCGAAAAGGCCAATTCACTAATCGACGTGTCAAGGTAGGAAGTCTATCAACCTCCGATTCTAACAGGTAAGCCGCTGGATCCGGAATCGGAGGGGCGACGTGGCCTTCGGTTGCACCCGGTGCTTTGCCCGATCCGGGATCGGTCGGGCGTCGTACCCTCCCATGGTCTCCTGTTGTGTTAATGTTCGTGCCAGAGGTGCGCGCGGAAGGTGAGCCAGCGTGGGCCCCGAGCCGCGTGCTTCTAGCGACAGGTGTTGCACAATCCACGCGGGGCAGTCTCTGTGGTGCAATGAGCGTGGTGCAAAACACGCGGTGTAACCTCTGTGGTGCAGTTGATGTTCTACCAACGGGTTGACACATCCCATGCTCCTGCAAACATCCCGCCCACCCACCCGCAACTTGGTTTGCTGAAACAAAGCGGCGGCGATTGCGATGAATGCTTGGCGTTGGCTGGTGCATCTCTGCGGCCGCGCCAGCCCGCGCATGCACGCGCGCGCAGCGGCCAGCTACCATGGCGCGACCGACGCGAAAGCGGTGTCGCTGACCGCTCGGCACCCCAGCGGGCACTTCCGTGCGAGTCGGCGACTTGTGCGGGTCCGGTATCATGGCAACGTCGACAACGGTATTGCGTCGGTGATGAAGGCTTTGGAAGGAGTTCGACATGCGCGCACGGCCGACGCGCGAGAGTGGCCGCATGGGCATGCCCCCCCAGCCCGCGCATAAGGGCGTTCGAATGATTTCGGCATGCGGCGCGAGAGGCCCGTTCGGCAGCATGTGATGAACATGTTGAAAAAGGCAATAGCTTCTTTAAGGATTCGCCAGAGAGCAGCGAGCGCAAGCTTTTTTTGTTAAACTGATCTTGCGATTTTTGAATATATATACACATACATATATATATATATATGTATTTATTAGAACCCAAGCGCATGCCGTTGCGTTGTTACCTGTGGGTGCTTTTCGGACAGGCTCATTCCATGCCTTGCCTTACCTCGTCCTCCAATATTCCTTATACGTCCTTCCTCGTTAACCCTCCAGTCTCTCTCGGTTGTCCTCGCTTTTCGTTTCTCGTTGTTATCGACGGCCCCCTCTTGCTCTGGATTATGCGGGGGCTTCGATCTGTTCAGGGCCGGCGTGGGAGGACATTGAATATGAAATGGGCTGGCTTGAAGTGTACGGGTCTCTGGGTCGCTTGTGGATCTTCCTGCTTGGGCTGCCTTGGAAGCCTTGGGGCCCGCTTGGGGCCCTTTTGGGCTCTTCTTCGAAGTTGTGGGGCCGTCTCGAGCCTCGGCGCCATGTGAAGATCTCCCGAAGCCATCCGAAGGAGACGAGCGTGAGATTTACTGCATATGGAGACACCTGCATGGTTTTTGCGTTTATGGCTTTCTGGCGTCATTTGGGAGGGCCTTTTGGAGCTCCACTGGGGCATCTTGTGGCCCCTGGGGGCCGCCTTGAAACATCTTGGAGCGTTTTGAACCACTAAGGGGCCGTCTTGGCGGCCAGCGGGCGTCCTCCTGAACCAGCTCGAAACCCTCTTCAGGCCGAAAGAGTCACCCAAAGACCCCAAAGCGGATCCCGGAGCCAAGTGGGGGCGAATTGGGTTGCGACGGGGGGAATTGGGAAAAGTGGGCCACCCCAGGTCCCCTCCCCCATGGGCGGTCCCGTCGTCTTCGTCCGTCGTCCGACGTCCGTCATCCGTCCGCCCGCCATGCTGTTTCTCCATGATAACTCTGCCACGGGGATCGTCTCTCGCTAACTCTGAGCAGAAGGTGCTGGGGATGCAGCGGCCAGCACTGTACATGAGCTGATGCCTTGGGCTGCAGCTCGCTGGATATTCCTGCGTGAAAGGCGTTGCTACCCTGGGCTGCAGTGCCACGCAATTAGATACCCCACCATCATTCATCCCACACGACACTTGAACGAGAGATGGACATGCTTGATTCGAGCGTGAAGTCTCTGTCCTGAATCCTGGATGAATGAACGTATAATCCAAACCCAAGATTCCCGGATTTGTTGGGGCCAGAAGAGACTCCTCGAAACCGTCTTGGGGGGCTCTCTGGAGCAGCCTTGACGGTGGTTTGGGGCCGATCAGGGGGATACGCCTGGGTTGCTGGCCAGAGGCCTCATGTACGTATCTAGTGTCTCTTTTGAAGTCTCTCGGAGCACAATTTTGGGCCTCTTGCGGGGAGCTTCGGGGTCTCTTGGAGACTAGTTTGGGCACTGTTTTGGGTTTCCTGGGGGCCTCCCGGCCCGTGGGGGGCCTTCCCGGCGGCCTCGTGGACCGTCGGGAAGACCTTTTTGTGGCCGTCTAGGAGCAGTCTTGAGCTGTCTTCGAGCGCTCGTGGGCCGTCCAGAGGCCATCTCGGTACGCTCGGCCTCTGGGGGGATCTGGTGTCCCCTTGTGGGGCGTCGTGGGGCGATATTGAGGGCCTCTTGTGCCGTCTTGGAGGCCCCTTGTGATGTCCTTGGGCGATCTTG